ACACTTTTTAGCGCGGACCCGACGTCCATATAATTGTAAGTCAATGGGTATAATGCTCATAAAAAGTTCTGTGGAAGGCGTACTCATAATGTGTGTGGGGTACAATATGGACGTACAAGATTCCTTCCCCTTCGGGAATTCTTTCTGTCGTTTCCCCTTTACCAAAGAAGTAAAGTAGTAGAAGTTAGTAGTAGACCTCCTTGTGAAAGAGTTCGTCCAGGGAAGTACTGCCACCTTACCTAATTCTGCCGCCAAGCGGTAATTTAAGCATTACTGCATTCCGGTTTAGAAGGGCAATGGTTCTGGTGGAATTACAGGCACATGGGACTTATCAACTTATGTCTCAGGGTGACGGGCGCAATGGCAGTGTCAGATCTCAGATCTTTGCGATTCAAAAGTTCTAAGTGGCACTGCAACTGTTATGGACAGGCGTGTAACATAACACCAGGCGTACGACTTGTTCGTCCTGTCACTGATTTTATAAAATAAAGAAATAGCAAGGAAGGTGAAAGAGTTGGTGACAAATTCTTTTTCCTACTTTAGCTGTAAATCACGACGATACACTTTTATGAATATTTTTACAGAAAACTAAACAACACATTCTCCGAGTGCGGTCGTCCCCTCGTCGCCTGGCAATCGGATTGCTACGGCCATTCTCGTGAGTTTACGTCGCTTGCGGCTCAAATGGGCTTCGACGGGCTGTTCATCAACCCGATCAGTTTCGAAGACGAGCTTGCCAGGATGAGGCGAATGGGGCTGGAGTTCATTTGGAGAGGGAGTGATGATCTTGGTATGTCCGCTTTTCCTAACAAGCTTCTTTTTTCTGTGTATATTAGGACGTGTTCCCATTGTGTCATAATGATTTATTTGTTATTGGACGACTGTCACTTTTGGCCTGTCCCCATATCACGACAGACTGTCGTGACTGTGTCGTGGACTTTTTGTATGCCCAGCCGAGGGCGTGAAGGACGATAGGGGAGAGTAGGAGCAGAAGACGCGCAGACAACGACAATTAAAACGCGACGAGAATAGTAGCTGCGAGTATCTATCTTCAGGTTTTATCGTGACGTTCTATTTATCGTCAGACGACTGTCATGCTAGCTCTGCCCATTGTCACGACAGACTGTCGTCGTACCATCAGTTTCAGAAGCAGTAGAGCTCCTTGTAAAAGAGTTCGTCTAGAGTACTGCCACCTTACCTATTTCTGCCGCCAGTAATGTCAGCTTTCGGTAATATCGGTTGATATTAAAAAAAGAGTGGTATATTTAAAGTACCTATTGTATACAGCGGTTTTCTTGTAAAATTTCGCGGTAAGTTTGCGTTTTTCTTACATCATCGTTAAAACTTTTAGGAATCAAGTTTTCACACAAAGTCAAAGATCATTTATTCCATAGGCAAATAAACTTAAATGCTATGGAATACACTTTGAATCAAGTTTGTGTGGATTCTGGAGCCATGTCGTCTTTCCATACATCTTTATCTAACACGTAGTCTTTTTTAATTTCGTAATATGACTTTTCAATCAAAATATTTTTAATGTAGTTTTTAAACTTAGGAAATGATAAACTTAATATATGCTCCGGAATCTTATTGTAAAAACGTATACAGTTCTACATAAAAGAGTTGTTTACCTTGGTTAAACGAAATCGTGGTACCATGAGTTTGGACTTAGCTCTAAGGTTAATTTACTTATTTTTAATGTTTTGCCAGAAAAGCCTTAAATATTTTGATATACTATATGAAAACGATTAGACTTTTCTGTTGTCGTGTTTTTCAGTTTAAATTATGGTTAATAATAAGTATACTGTTGTTACTACTAAGTAGGAGCATTGTCGTGAGACTGTGTTATATCTTCTATAACAGCGTCCTTAATATTAAAAGATAGCAAACTAGCTATATGTCTCAGATACCTTAGGGGTAAAAGTAAATTATCCTCAAAAAGTTTGAAGTTCCTTACGAACTTATTAATGTCAAAATATAATCTCAGTACAGACTACTAAAAAAACCGACCTCAAAAGTACGTGGAATCACGTCTATTTGCTAAGTTTTATTGAAATATCCCCTAGTTCGCCACTATACAGGACTTGATACTGGAGATAATAAAAATAGGTTCTCACTACGACACTACTCAAAGTATATCGAGAGAAAAACGCCTTGAATTGGAGAAATAGCAAAATCAACTAAATAATTGCTAAAAGTAATTGCTCCTAAATTAAAGTTAAAGTTAGGCGCTATTTATAAAAATGAATCTTCATGCGTGAACATCCACCCTTTGAGGCGGATGATTTTCTTCAAAATGAAATGGGACCACTATGGAAATACCCCCTTTCCAACAAAAAAAGAATCATGAAAATCGATTCACAAATACCGGAGTTATCGCGTAACATATACATACAAAAAAAAAAAGAAAAAAAAAAGAACATACAGTCGAATTGAGAACCTCCTCCTTTTTTGAAGTCGGTTAAAAATATAACGTCACTATGACGGCAAGTCAAATTATGAATATGCGAATTTATGGAATATATATACTTATTATTATGAGCGATGCCTAGGTTAGAGCAGTAATGTAGGGAATGCACTTAGTATGAATTTACTCCCACACTTCTCATGAATTCTCAACAATACGTCAATGCTACTATTTACTTCTTTTTTACTAATGTTATTACTATCACCTATTATAAGAATATTATCAAAGTTGTAACCACTTAACAGTGTAATAATTTGACTAAAAGTAGCTCCTTGATAGCAATAGTTGACTACCCTTTGTTTTAAGTGGTTACTTAGGTGGTGACCTAGTCCTACGCCTACTTTATCAGGAAAAACTACCGTTCTTCTGGATGGCCTGGTAGGAGTTGTAATAGTCTTGGTTGACCGTTGAGTGTGTCGAACTTCAACCGCATGCGTGCGTGCGTGCATGCGTGCGTGCGTGCGTGCGTGCGTGCGTGCGTGCGTGCGTGCGAGCGAGCGTGCGTGCATGCGTGCGTGCGTGCGAGCGTGCGTGCGTGCGTGCGTGCGTGCATGCGTGCATGCGTGCGAGAACTGAGATTATTCAGTTTTTATCGAACGTCATGTTTCACAATGATATTTAATTACTTTTTGTGATATTACTCTACTGGTAACAAACCAGTTTATTATTTTAATAATGGTTTTCGAATTCTAGGCTCATCATCGGACATCTATACGCATAAGCTCTTCGACGGGTACTGGTCTCCACCAGGTTTCTGCTTCTCCACACAGTGCACGGATCCGTTACTGACCTTACACGATGACGACATCAAGAATGTAGATGGGCGGGTAATTACACCCTTTACACAGTCACGCTATCGCGCGTGATCAGGAACCTCATTACCTGTTCACGTGATTGGTCGTGTATGTTTTTGGTACAACGAAAAGAGCGTCTGTGTAAAGACTAATAACGCAGGATAGACCGCGTGAAACTGGCGCGTGTTAATGTATCACGCGCGATAGAGTGTCTGTGTAAAGCCCGCTAATAAGACACAAAATCGAATAGCTGTAGATGAACGACCACACGATCTCTAAAATACTGTTTCCATTATTGCATCCGTTCACAAAATATTTACCATTTATGACGGAAGTGACACATTAACAAATTTAGATAAGACGGCAGCACCATAAGTACGTGTTTTGTTAAATATTTTAAAACACGCACATGTCTACCCTCAGCAGTCGATCCGGCAAACTAAGCGTGTTTGCAGGATGCGACACGCGCTGGTAGAAGTCCCTTAGCACCTTAGGAGGAGCTACGTCCTCCACCTCCCCTCCTCACGACGAAGCAGGCCACACTGCCCCGCTGTCCTCCTCGCGGCTGTCAAACTTACTGGCGAACGGAGCGCATTCTCCGATCCCCCGCAGCCGCGAAGGTACACCGCCGCCGAGCGGGATCGGCCCTCTCCCGATCTCGCTCGACGGTCTCCTTCTGGAGCATCACCGCTTCACAGAAGGAGGCCATTGCCTAATGGGACTCTTGATCCGCCAGCATAGCCGTTACTATGCCTAACGGAGAGAGATTCCGGATCTCGCTCGATCCGGGCAACCAGTGTGTTCCGCTCGGAGGCCCAGGTGGGGCACTCATCCTGCGTGGTGCACACTCGCCCCCCGATTTAAGGACAACCTCAATCTGATTGAGATGTGTACGCCAAGGTTCCTTTATCTGTCCTTTCATCTTCTTTCGCGTCTCAACTTACCAAATTTCTATATGTTATTTGTCAGGTCATAAAATTCATAAATTCCATGTTGAACCGTCAATCCCCGAACTACAACACGAGTCACGTCATGGTGATCATGGGGAAAGTCTTCGCGTACTACGATGCTACCATGTGGTTCTCCAACATAGACCAGCTTATCGAGTAAGTACCACATAATACTACAATATCAATCACCAATGATGCAAGGGCAAATTTCACCGAACGGAGGCCATTTAATTGGCCGACTTCAAAAAAGGACAAAGTTCTCAATCGAACTGAATTTTTTTCAAGTTCAAATTTAAATTCATTTATTTCTTTGTGACAGGACAACCGGCCATTCTCACATTCAGTGTTCTTTATTACCATAGTCCGTCGAGTATACAACCAGAAACAGAGACGAAATGTCATTTAATTTGTTTGAAAACTATTTGGCCAAATCATTATGGTGACAACTGCGCTCCGATTGGCCAGCCCGAATTCGAAACAATTGACGGGTGTCGTCAATTGTTTCACTTAAATCATTTAGTTTAACTTGAGCTTTGCTATAGCGGACGAAAATTGAAAAATTACATAATTTAATATTTAATTACCGATGAAATGTGATTCTGTTTGTTTTGTAATTAGAGTTTTGCTGTTTTTCCCACATCACTGAATGGAACAGCCGCAAATAGTTAGAGATATTATCTTTATCACAATAAATACAGAATATATTTGGAATATACCGAGACGTACACACAGGTCAGTTGTTGGCGCTGTACTATTTCAGCTTTCTAACTTGTGATTTCAGCGCAAACGCGAGTTGATATTTAAAAGTGATATTTGCTTGATGAGTTGCCAGCGATGGATGGCCCTTATTTCGTCTCTATTTCTGGTTATGCCGACTTAGGCCGACTAAAGGCGTTACAAAAATTTCATATAGAATCACTGTGATCCGTCTTGCAGCATACAAACTTTAATTTTTTTTATATACACACTCTTGCAACAATTTGTATCCTGTATTCAAGCCGACCAATATAATTACTTACCCAATATAATATAAACACTTACCCAAGGACCTTGTACAAAAACATAGTTAATTGTAGTAATGCAGCCAAATGTAAAAGTAAGCTTAAGTCATTTATTTTTAATTTGTATACAGTAACTAATGACGCATAAATCTGTGCAAGACAGCGACTGAAGCCTCCTACATATAAACCCATTATAGGGATTGCAGTAGGTAGGTTAGATTTAAGAACCAATGTATATTTTTGTTTTGGAAAAAAAATTTAAAAAAATTAATTCAAAATTGAAGAAATTAATTCCACATCTAAGGATGGGAAATTAGGGGATCCAGGGGTGTACTCCCGTTCTCTGTCCAACATCCGAAATAATTACTGTGTTTCCAGCGAAAATAGAATCATCAAAATCGCAAATTGCGAATAACACGCGTACAAAAAAATACTACTACAGGCGAATTGAGAACTTTTGAAGTCGGTTAAAAAATATAATTAATTTCAGTTCTGTGAACGAGATGAGTTACAGACTCGGCAAGAAGGTGCGATTGTATTATTCCACACCCGCGTGCTATCTAAAGGCTGTGTATCAATCCAAGTAAGTACATTTTCAGACAGATTGTTAATAGCTTATATATCAAGCTAAAGAAACGCGTTTCAAACCTGAATTAATTTCCTGTGAATCTGTATCTGTATATAGATAAGTATACAAGGTTATTTGTAAAATACCAACATCGAGTACATAACCAAAAATAGAAGCGTAATAATATCCGTCCCTGGAAACCCATCAGACAAATGGGCCTTATATCCCTTTATAAATATCAGTCCCGTTTGCGCTGAAATCACAAATTAGAAATATTAACTAAAAATAACGGCTAACTCACGTATTTAAGTCGAATTGTCCCTCGACATGTTTCGAACCAATTCGTGGTCCTTAATCATGAGATTGCGCGGCGGTGACTCGACGGAAACTGCACACCAGAGCCTTGGCAGCCCGATCACTCAGTACGGCAGCGGGCGCAGGCGGCGTCGGCGAGAATCTAACCACGTTTGCTTCATTTTTATTAAAGTCATATGCAGGATTGCACACTACACTAACAACGTCACTTTTTAAAGTCTCGTCTACACTAACCACTGACGTAGTACCTAACACTGTTTTCCAGCCGGGGGGTACCGATCGTCCACTATCACGATTGAAATTCGAATGACGACCAATCTCGATAGCTTCAGGTACTTTCCGCGGAGTGAAATACTTTTCTCTCGACATTCAAAAGCCATTGTCACGTTATGGTCGTGTTAATTATCTCGCTAGAAGCCTCGAAAAGCGTAGAAAAATAACTTATTTTGCTACTTTGGAGAGTAAAAATAATAGTCGAATTGTAATATTTATAGGAAATGAAACTATTTTTCCGGATTTAAATCGCGTATATTTGTTTTTTCAAACAAACCGACGTTTCGGGCCCTTTACAGGTCCCATGGTCACGGTTGACTGAGGTGGTACAGTCTTCAACCAGTTATGTCTAATATTAATTCATCATATTAGTTTTAAATCCGTAAAAATAGTTTCATTTCCTATGTGTAGCAATCACGAAAACCTAAGAACTCGATATGTAATATTTATTTTATTTTATTTTAATAAATTTTCTATTTACCATTTTCTATTTTTTTTGTTGGAATAAACGACAGTAAACCTTACACCGCTGCAATATAGTCGCTTCTTTTTTTTGGAGAGCACATTAATTGTAATTTCAATATAAAATTAAAACGTCGTAACTTGCAATAATTAGTATTGATCTTTCTACGGTATGCCAACTGAGTAAAGTTTCAATTATGTTAACAGCCCAGAAAGTCTCTCCTTGTAAATGGGCCTTTATGCAATCGCAAAAACGATTATTAAAACATCTTCCTGTGTAATTATAATTTCTTCCAGTTCGCGGTTCGAGACGAAGCAGGACGACTTCTTCCCAATCGCCTACGACTATCAGACGTACCTTACTGGGTTCTTTACGACTCATCCATCGTTGAAACTGCTCATTAGAGAAGCTTTAGTTTTTTTACAGGTACGTAATTGTCCATGGATATTATTTTTAAAGTAAATTTGGTACCAAATATATAATATATAAATAAATATATATAGTACGATGGTAGTAGCGGAGATGTGGGATATAAATATAGCAATTTACTAGCAGGGAAGTACTTCCACCTTACCTATTTCTGCCGCCAAGCAGTAATATGAGCATTAATGCGTTCCGGTTTTAAAGAGTAAGTGTGCTGGGTGAAATTACTGGCACATGGGACTTGTTAACTTAAGTCTCAGGGTGACGGGCACAGTGGCATTGCCCGTTTGATCTATGCGATTTAAAGTTCTAAACGGTACTGCAATTGCTATTTTTAATAATAATCTTTTATTTAAAAAAAGAAATTACATGTACGGGCGTGTCGAAAACGACCAGGAACTCGACTTCTTCGTCCGGCCATAAATGGTATCATAAAAAATAAAATGACCAATCGTTCTGCGCAAATTCATTACCTCCTTCCACAAGCGTAGCAAGCTCTCCTTTGGAGTCAATGTGGGATTGTACAGGGCTTGCATCCGCCGGATAGTGACTTACACAACGCGACGGATGCCACGTGTTCTAGTTCTTATATTTATTTATGTTTTTTCGCAGATTTCAAAACAGCTTCAAGTTTTTGCAAATTTAAAGAACAATGACAAAATATTTGAAGAATTCGGCTGGATATTTAGTGAGTAAATAGAATATCCAAATAATATCGTTAAACCAGACATTTTTGAAGTAAAAAAAAATTAAATGGTACAAAGTGATCCATGGATCCGGATCACTTTGTACAAAAAACAATGTTCGCAGTTGGAAAAAGTGACAGTTTGTGAAGCTTAATCTGTTGTAGTCATCACCACTTCTCGGACCTACATGAATGGATCACTTTGTTCTACGAATTTGGCTACGGCGGTCGCTTCAGCTCTTGTGTTGGTGGCGTTCGTGGGCTCGCACTGCGGGCTTGTGAGGACACTATTTTCAGGATTGTAACTGATTACTGCAGATTGTCGAGCTTTGAGTTCGTTACGCTTAAAATTAAGTTCTGAGCGCGGTTCATCCCAAAAATCACAGACTTTGTCCGATTGGCAACCTGCTTTGCTATTCCTCTACCTGCTACTTCGTTTGGTACAAAGGTTGGAGCACTTTGTTAAACTGAAAGCAATTAAAAACTGTTATCAGTTAATTTATAGTCTGTTAGCCGTGACCATGAGACCTGTAAAGAAACCGAAACGTTGGTTTATTTGAAAAAAAACGAAATTTAGATCCAAAAAGGATTGTTTTATATCCATCATCATCCACAGCCTTCACCCACTTCTGGAGATAGGCCGCATGTACTTTGTAGCTAGTCTTAGCCATCTTGCTACAGGACGACGTCGCATGTTTCTTTTTATAACTCCATCTGTCATCACCACGCCTCGCAATATGTCCCATCTCCACTTCAATTTTGTTATCCGATCTTCTATGTCCTGGATCTTAATTCGTCTTCGTTTCCTTTCGCCTTCATTGTGTACATATTTTTACAATGGTTTACCTACCATTCAAATACCGTTAAAATTGAACTTTTCAGGTTTAATGCAGGATCACAGTATTGTGAGTGGCGCTCTGCGCAAGCATGTCAAAAGTTACTACGTTCAGAAGATTTTTATGGGTATCCAGAAGTCAACGAATGTATTGAAACAGGCCTTTAAGTATGTAAATAATAATAATTATTATTATTAAACGGGGTTAATTCCTGCCAGACTCGCTGGCAACTTGAGGCGTTTGGTTTACTGTGCCATGGCGTCTGTAGCACAACTGCAGAAAGCGGTTCGCCGTTCTCAAACTTGAATCTTTGACCTCGGCCTACTGTGCCGAGTGCGAGAAACAAAAATGTACGTCGGATTAAGACTTATGGGCGACGTTGAGGGAAAGGGTGTGATGGTTTTCACCAGAGAAACGCGAGCTCGGTCATTCCAGTTTGGAAGGGTAAGTGTACTGGTGAAATTACAGGCACATGGGATTTGTCAACCAATGTCTCAGGGTATCAATGGTAGTGCCCGCCAAATCTTTGTGATTTAAAGCTCTGAGTGGTACTGCAACTGTCATGGACAGGAGTGTCGCTTACCACCAGGCGCACGACTTCTTCGTCCCGCCACTTTTGGCATCTTGTCGGACCCATTATTATTAACATCCACCGCTGCACTTGTGTGTTTGAGATTATTCTTATTTATATTTCGCAGTAAACTCCGCGAGAGTCCTAAATCGATGACATTGTACAGATGTCTATTCAACATATCCAGCTGCGAGAACCTAAATGGGAACAATGCATTTGTGAGTAACAAAATTAATACAGAGTATCCATTGACTTACAATTATTTGGACGTCGGGTCCGCGCTAAAAAGTGTCCGAACTTATAGGGCGTTAAAATCGTATACAGAGCGTCATTCACGCTTTAGTCTTCGTATGTTCGACTGACAGCGAAGCAAGCAAAATTAGACAGTACTGCGATGACATTACAATTTAAATTCAACGTTTTAGCTTTTTCATATTCCTTTACATGTCACTACGTTTAAATAGGTTGACTTGGGACATTTTTTTCGTGGTTTTTGTATTAGACCCGTCGCTCATTTATTTGTAAGTCAATGAGAGTATCTGACAAATCGATAATTAATATTTGAATTAATGTGCGTAGGGCGCTGGCAGTCAGAAGCCATATGTTGACCCGTAGTGGGTTGCAAGGTGTACTAAGTAAAAACTATCCCCTTTGGTGCTTACTGCCAATGATTTTACACATGCAACCTATGGATCAACTACACTCAAAAGGCTGGACGCTTCGAGTCCGGTACAATAACGCATTCAGGATGTTGTTGAGACTGGCGCGGCATTGCAGTGCGTTGAGAATGTTTGCGTAAACGCGAACGGACGGTTTTCAGGCCATCATATTTAGGAGTCCATACTACTCAGCTCGAATTAAAGTTTTTCCCATACTAATAAGATTCGTTTTTCTTGGATCGAAAGGCAGGGACACTGGCTTTATTTCAGAATTTTTTTTACATACGAAATTGAAGTCATTTGAAAAAATGTTTATATTATACCATACGTGTTCTACTTAGTTCAGTTGATATAAAAAAAATCATTGGTAAAATATGTGAAATATGTTTTGAATATAGCGGTTTTCTTGTAAAATTTCGAGGTAAGTTTGTGCTTTTTTTAAAAATTGTTGGAAAATTTTCACACCGTATAGTAAATAATAAATAAATAAATAACGCACACACTCAACATGGCCCCGCACTAGGGAAACCCTGTGTCGCGGGTGCCATGGACACACATATAGACAACCACAAATTACACCCAAACTCACGAGAGAAATAAATGTAGGCCATACAAACATTTCTCCCGTCCCAGGAATCGAACCTGGGACCTCTGCGTGGCAGTCCGGCATGGTAACCGTTTGGCCACGGAGGCAGTTCTCAATATACATCGTCAATTTTACTTTACATTTTTGCCAAAGTGATTGATTCTACACTTTCGCTGTTATGCGCCGAATCGACCAAGGCCATTTGAGGTACTATAGACTTTTAAGCGAATGGTAGTTGCTAAGGCGCATGCGTGGCAGCCCCAACAGCCTCCTGACCACTGTCGCGGAAAGAGTCGAC